ATAAATAAAAATATGCAAAATTTTCAAATTACCTGTGAAGATAGCAAATATCTACTTTTGTAAAATATTTTAAATGATAATACAATGCAATATACAGAGATAAATTTTGTGCTGATAATTTTTATTAGCATCACACTGATATATGTATATATATTTAGTTTAATATGATGAATTTGTTGTAATATTATTATATGATTAACTAATAAAAATATTAATTATTTTTACTATTATCTACTATTTTATATATTATATATAATATATAGTAATGCAGTATATATTAATATATGTATATTAGATATGTATATTTTTGTCTGTGCGGCAAAAATATATATATATATATAAACGTAATGATTACTTCATATGTACGTATGTATGCTAGTATGTAAAGACATGTATATATAATGATGAAAGATAAAGATAATAATGAGAATGAATTCGTATGCTTCATTAGGGTTTGTTTTTTTGGGGATTGGATTGGATTTACATTATTTATTCAATTTTTTCTCCCCAAAAATATTAAATTAAATACTTATTTTTTATTTTTTATATTATACTAAAAATCAATTTTACATTCAAAACATCACATTAACACCTATTTATATCATATCATACAACTATTCAAAATTTTTACTATTCAAATCTCAACTCAAAATCCAAACCCCCAAACAAACACAGTATTTATTGGCATTTCCATATTACATATACGGTTGTAAGTTTATAACGTATGCAACACGTTGATACTATGTGATGGTGAAATAAAGCATCCACGACTCAATACACGAAGTGAATATTTATACAACGGAATTTATATATGAAATATTGCATTATTACAATACATGTAAAATATTGTTACTTCTAAAATTTAAAAGGTAAAATATATATATATATATATATGTTGATTGTAAATATAAAATAGGTTGAATAATTGTATATAAAAGGTACTTAATTTTATATAATTTTAGTTGTATATATATATTGTTATATAATAATAATAATATAATAGTAAGTGTAATATATATGTATATGTGTACGGGTGTGCTTATATAAAATATATATATATAATGGTAAGTGTGTGTATAGGTGTATATATATTTATGTATATATGTATAATTATAGAGAGAGATTATAATTAAATTATATTATATTCTAGAATGTATGTATATGTAGTATGAAGTTAATCCAGGGAGAGAGAGCAGTTAATGCAGAGAGGAGAGAGGAGAAAAGATTTGTGTGATTTCTTTTGTATATTCATTACAGCATACCTTGATAGGAAGAAAAAGAAAAAGCATACAAAAGTGTCACGTAGTCACTTCGTGTGTACTACGTACATATTACATAATACTCCCCCTTGGATGCTTTTATACAAAGAATGTGCCTCGTTAAAACCTTACTATGAAAAAACCCTGTGGAAAAAAAATCATAGTGAAGGAAAAAGAGTACATCATTCTTGTATTAATGCGCTCCCCCTGTTTTGGACTTTATTTGATGTCTTACGCATTCCAATTCCTTGCACCAGTTTGTTGAATGTTGCAGTTGGTAGCGCCTTTGTAAATAAATCTGCAAAATTTTCAGAAGATCGAATTTGTTGCACATTAATTTCACCATTTTTCTGAAGATCGTGAGTGAAAAAGAACTTCGGAGATATGTGCTTTGTCCGATCGCCTTTGATATATCCTCCCTTTAATTGAGCTATACAAGCTGCATTATCTTCAAATAATATTGTAGATGGTAATACATCATCAGAAATCAAGCCACAATTTTTCTGAATATGATGAGTCATAGACCTCAACCAAACGCATTCACGACTGGCTTCGTGAATTGCTAAAACCTCATCATGATCTGAAGAAGTAGCTGTTATTGTCTGTTTAGCAGATCTCCAAGAGATTGCGGTTTCACCACAAGTAAATAAATAGCCAGTTTGAGATTTTGCTTTGTGCGGATCAGACAAATAACCAGCATCAGCATAACCAGTTAATTCATTTCGAGATTCACTCGAATAAAATAAACCGAGGTCATGAGTCCCCTGAAGATAACGAAAAATGTGTTTGATACCATTCCAATGGCGCTCTGTGGGGGATGCACTAAACCTGGCCAGTAGATTTACTGGAAAATATATATCTGGCCTGGTACAATTTGCGAGGTACATTAATGCGCCAATAGCGCTGAGATATGGTACCTCGGGGCCAAGTATTTCTTCATTTTCTTCTCTTGGCCTAAATGGATCTATATTGGGATCAAAGGATCTGACCACCATTGGTGTACTCAAAGAGTGAGATTTATCCATGTAAAATTGTTTTAATACCTTTTGGGTATATGTTGATGGATGGATAAATATTCCGTTGTTCACATGATCCACCTGTAATCCCAGACAATATTTTGTCTTTCCAAAGTCTTTGATCTCAAATTTTTTCTTTAGATATTCAACTGCAATTTGGATCTCTTCTGGAGTTCCAATTAAATTGAGATCATCAACATATATTGCAATAATGAAAAAATTTGATCCATTTTTCTTTATAAAGACGCATGGACATATTGGATCATTAGTATAACCTTCTTTTATTAAACATTCACTCAGACGGTTATACCACATTCGCCCCGATTGTTTAAGTCCATACAATGACTTTTTCAATTTGATGGAATATGATTCCCTTGGGTTTAATTTGTATGTTTTGGGCATATTGAATCCCTCAGGAACTTTCATATAAATATCAGTATCCAAAGAGCCATAAAGATATGCAGTGACTACGTCTAAAAGACGCATATCGAGTTTTTCTCACACTGCTAGACTCACAAGGTATCTAAATGTTATTCCATCAACAACTGGAGAGTACGTTTCATCAAAATCTACTCCAGGCCTTTGTGAGAATCCCTGAGCTACAAGACGGGCTTTATATCGCACAATTTCATTATGCTCATTTCTTTTTCATACAAACACCCATTTGTATCCAACTGGTTTTATACCATCTGGTGTTTGAACAATTGGTTCGAAGACTTCTCTTTTGTTTAATGAGTCAAGCTCTGATTGAATCGCATGTTCCCATTTTGGCCAGTCATTTCTTTGCCGACATTCATGAACCGATTTTGGCTCTGGATCCTCGTTTTCTTCCATTATATCAAGTGCTAAATTGTATGCGAAGGCATTATCAATAATTGCCTCTTTACGGTTCCAACATTTTCTTGAAGTAACATAGTTAATTGAGTTTTCAATAATCTCATCATGTTCTTCAAGATCGTGCTCTTCTGGAGCAATTATTTCAGGGTTGACTTCCTCGTTAGATTGAGGTTTATCAATGTCATTCATGATATTTTCATGATTATCATCATTAATTCCTTTTTTCTTTCGAGGGTGTTTATCTTTGGAACCGAGTGGTCTACCACGCTTTAAGCGTGTTGCTGATTCATTAGCACTTGCAATTTTTCCATCAGGGGCAATTATTTTAGCCGGAGCATTAGCAGCTTGGATATATGATCGAGTGACTTTGCTCGAGTCATTGAATGCATCCGGTAACTGATTTGCAATATTTTGCAAATGTATAATGCGTTGAACTTCTAGTTCACACTGCTTTGTACGAGGATCACAAAAATTCAATGGGATTTTCCAATTAATATCCATTTTCGGTTCATTTATGTCTTCCCCCAATGTCGGAAAATATGATTCGTCAAAATGACAATCTGCAAATCTTGCAGTGAATAAATCGCCCGTCATAGGTTCAAGATATTTTATGAGCTTCAGACATTTCTTTCCCCCGCCTATTGATAATTGACGGCGATTCATATCCGACATAAATGCTCAATCTACGTTGAGGACCCATTTTTGTACGTTTGGGGGGTGGAATAGGAACATAAACAACACACCCAAAAATACGTAGATAACATATATTTGGTTCGTGACCAAATATTAACTGCATTGGGGAATAGCTATGATAGCTTGTCGGCCTCATTCTTATAAGTGTTCCTGCATGTAAGATTGCATGCCCCCAAGCTGAAACGGGCAACATAGACCTCATCAATAATGGTCTAGAAATCAATTGCAATCTTTTAATAAGTGATTCTGCCAGACCATTTTGTGTATGAACATGAGCAACTGGGTGCTCTACATTAATTCCAATCGACATGCAATAATTATCAAATGCATTCGAAGTATATTCACCAGCATTATCCAGACGTATAGTCTTAATTGGATTATCGGGGAATTGTGCCCGTAATTTAATAATTTGGACAAGCAATCTCGCAAATGCCATATTGCGAGTAGATAATAAACAGACATGTGACCATCTGGTAGATGCATCAATAAGCACCATCAAATATTTAAATGGCCCACACGGTGGGTCTATTGGTCCACATATATCCCCGTGTATACTTTCCAAAAATGTAGGTGATTCAATACCTACTTTAGCTGGCGATGGCCTGGTTATCAATTTTCCCTGAGTGCAGGCAACACATGTTAACTCATTTGAGTTTAACACTTTTTGACCTTTTAATGAATGGCCATGCGAATTCTCAATTATTCGCCTCATCATTATACTGTCAGGGTGCCCAAGGCGATCATGCCATATTTGAAAATCGGTAGTCTTTTGATCTACCGTGAGGTGTGTTTCAACAACACCTAATTTGGCATAATATAAACCAGTAGAGAGTGAGGGTAATCTCTCAATGACGCATTTCCTTTTATCAATGATATTGGTGATCAATAAAAATTCATCATCGGTATCACTCATAGTTTCAATGTGATAACCATTTTTCCGAATATCCTGAAAGCTCAGTAGATTTCTTCGAGCTTTAGTGGCCAACAGTGCATACTGTATCAAAATTTTCGTCCCCGCGGGGAGAAATATAATGGCTTCTCCAGAGCCATCAATTAATTTCGCACTGCCACTTATTGTATTGACATTCATTCTTTCCCTTTTCAAATGGGAGAAATATTTTTCGTATTTCAATATAGTATGTGTCGTTGCACTGTCAATGAAATACATATTTGCATCATTTTGATTGGCATTCATTTAACCTTCAAATGTAAATAACGCAGTATTAATAAAGGCAGATATAAGTATAACAAAATGCATTACAAAAAGGTAATATGCGATAATTTCAATATTACAAAACATAATGTAAAATGACATAATATGTCTATCACTGGGGTTTGCTTGATCTACGACAAAATCCGCTATATCAAGATGCGTTGTGTCGTAATCCAAAAGATCATCACCGGGGTCGTCATCATTATCAACGTGATTAGTCTCGACCTCCTTCCCCTTTTTCTGCAGTGAGGCTTGATAAAGATCGGTTAGGTGTTTGGTTGTTCTGCAGGTATTGGCCCAATGGCCTTCAATGCCACACCGATTACAAATGCCGATTTGCCTCTTTCCCTGTTTAGCCTTTTCGGCTATATCCTCATGTTGGGGTTTACTCTACATCCTGTTAACGTCTTAATTGCGGCGATTGTAAGGGGTATATCGACCGCGTTGACTCTCACGACCGCGACCACGTCCTCGGCCTCGTTCAGAAAATGTCACGTTCGCTTCAGGGAACGGACTGAAACCAGTGGGCCGGGACTGATGATTTTTCATCAATAACTCATTATTTTGCTCAGCTAATAAAAGACATGCAATGAGCTGTGAGTACTTTTGAAAATTTTTCTCGCGATACTGCTGTTGCAGCACAACATTAGAAGAATGAAAGGTAGAGAGAGTCTTCTCCAATTTATCATTCTCAGTAATATTTTCTCCGCAGAGTTTCAACTGAGATGTAATCTGATGGATAGCAGAGTTATACTCTATAACAGTTTTAAAATCCTGCAACCGCAGGTTAAGCCAATCATGTCGGGCTTTGGGGAGAGTGTATTTCAAGTGCCCAAATCTCTCCCTCAATTCATTCCACAAATCTAGTGGATCTTTCACCGTCAAATATTCAGACTGTAGAGGAATGTCCAAATGATGACGGATGAAAATAATAGCCTTAGCCCGATCTTGGCTTGTAGTCGTATTTTCACTGGCAATTGTATGAATAAGGCCCATAGAAACCAGATGCATTTCTACATCCAGGGACCAAGTCAGAAAATTATTGCCGGTGAGAGACAGAGGTTTAAAAGAAAATTTTGCAAGATTTTCCATAGTGTAGAAAATAGATAATATAGATAGTATAAAAATAAAACTTACCAAGAATAAAATAGGCAAGAGCCCTCGTGCTGATAACGTGTTATATAATAATAATAATATAATAGTAAGTGTAATATATATGTATATGTGTATGGGTGTGCTTATATAAAATATATATATAATGGTAAGTGTGTGTATAGGTGTATATATATTTATGTATATATGTATAATTATATAGAGAGATTATAATTATATTATATTCTATAATGTATGTATATGTAGTATAGAGTTAATGCAGTGAGAGAGAGAGAGCAGTTAATGCAGAGAGGAGAGAGGGGAAAGAATTTGTGTGATTTTTTGTGTATATTCATTCCAGCATTCAACATCTATTTATAGGTGTTGAGACCTTGATAGGAAGGAAAAGAAAAAGCATACAAAAGTATTATGTAGTCACTTCGTGTGTACTACGTACATATTAGATAACATATATGTTATATTATAAAACAATACAACACAATGCAATACTTTAGTTATTTCTAATTGCCAATTTGTTCTTAGTATAGATATGCATACTTCTATATTAAATAAGTTTGGTTATTTTTGCATACTTCTATATCAAATAAGTTTGGTTATTTTTACGAACGATGTGAGAATTCGCAACTATTATACACTTTGGATAAGATTCTGACCAAATCTAATAATTTACAATCCCAAGTTAAAGGAAAAAAAAATCACACTAGAAAAATTTAAAGATTTTTTTAAGTTTGAAAAAAAATAATAATAAAAAATCCCTTAATTTAGATTTACTTTAGGGGTGATGTTATGATTACTCCAATATTGGCATATGCTGCCCCAATACCACCTCAATAATAACCTTCCATAGGACCCACCCATCCATCCATCATTACAATTTATAATAATAATAATAATTTTCTGTCACATAAGAGTTCAGAGTTAACCCATTTTTATTTCGAATAAATTTATTAAATTTAAATATATTTAACAAATATAAATTAATTTAATTAAATTTTTAATATTTAGAATGTATATAATCATTTAAACTTCTAAACAGACACAACCAGATCTCTTAATAAATATATATTTTTTAAGGTGCGTTTGACAATTAACTAGCTTTTAGCTATTAGTTGGTTTGACTAACTGATTCAATTAGTTGTTTGTATTAAAGTATTTGGTAAAACAATTATTTGACATTAACTGTCTATACGTAAAATGACAATTAAGGTCATTGATATATTATCTTTTAAAATATTTAATTTGTTCGTTACAATTTAAAATATATGAAAATTTTTGTTATTAATTATTGAAAATTATAAAAATATTACTCCCGTCTCAGAAAAGATATCTTATTGGGATGGACACGAGAAATAAGGAATAATAGTATTTAATTAAAAGTTGATATAAAGTAGAAGGTAAAAGACTTAAATACCCTTACTTTTTGAATGATTTTAAAAAGTAGGTTAGAGTAATAATTAAGAGTAGTTTGGAAAAGTAGGAATAATTTTGTTATAGGGACCACGATTACTAAATACGGAAATAAAACAATTGTTTTGGAACAGATGAAAATGGAAAAGACAACTCTATTGGGACGGAGGGAGTATAAAATATTTATTTTTATATTTTAAATTTGAGAAAAATATTTTTATTAAAAAATAATAATAATATTTTATTGAAATCGCGTAAAATATAAAATAATAAATCTTTTGTATATATATTTTTATTATGTAATTATTGTTTATTAATTTTTAATGTCTTTTATATTTGATATAATTTTAATAAATTTATATATTTTACAAATAAAATGATTTATAGCTATTAATAATAATATTATTATTATTTAAATTTTAAAAAATAAGATTACAATTTAATAAATTAAATATATTAATAAATACTGCAATAAAATATATTTATATATATGAAATATTTAATTAATTTTTAAGGATAAATAAGAAATAGATAAAATTCTTCCAAAACGCTAGGATTAGCTTCTTAGAAATTAGATTTTTTTATCCAAAAAGCTCTTTAAAAAAGCTACTTTACTAAACACTTAGTTTTTTAACTTGTGAAAAAACTAAAAATTGTTTAATAAGCTAAAAGTCCTTTCTCAAATATATTTTTGAAGAGTTTTTAGCTAATTTAATAGCTTTTAGCTGGTTGACCAGTCAAAAAAACTAATTTAGGTGTTTGGTAAATTAGCTTTTTGAAATAGCTTAGTGGTCTCAAATATTAATTTCTGAAAAGCTATATAACCCAATGTTTGGAAAAAGTTTTTTCAATTTAATTTTTTTATTCCTTATTTGCCCTTAAAATGTTACTATTATTTATTTCACATAGATATAAATAATTTTCTACTGCAGCAATTATAAATTATTTTAATATATTATTTATTAAATTATAATTCTATTTTTATAAAATTAAATTAATTAATTTTTATATATAATTAATTTTATTTGTAAACTATATATATTTATTATAATAAAATAAAATAAAAATAAAAATAAAAACATAAATATTAATAATTTATTTTTATATTAAAAGTAAATAAAATAGAATAAATTTATTAAAAAGTATAAATATAATAAATTAATGAATAATTAATATAATAAATATATTTACAAATATTTTATTATTTTATATTTTACATCATTGTTAGTAAATTCATATTTTTTTAATAAAAATATATACTATTATTTTTCTCACATCTAAAATTAATAAAAACATATTTTATAACATATTTCAATTTCAAATAACTAATAACAAAATTTTTAAAACTAAAAAAACACAATTAATAAATTTTAGGCTAAATTATACAAAATTCACCTGAGGTTTTACAAAATTGCGCCAAATCCCCATACTTCTAAAACTGTGTCAAACTTCCTCGTGGTTTCATAAATTTTGCGTCTAACTTCCTCGGCGGTCCTTATTTAACGGTATTTGATCTAGATGCGCCCAAACTGCGAATAAATTTTAGAATCTCAAATTCTAAACGTCTAAAATTATATATATATTTATTTATTTTATATTTAGCCTCAAAAAATAATAAATATACTAAAAATAGTTGCTTTTCTCATATTGTAAGAGTTTATTTTTGCTTTTTTTTTAGACTAAATATAAAAAAAAAATATATTTGTAATTTTTGCTGAGTGCACAGGGATTTCAATTAGAGGGAAAAAACTAAACTAAAAGGTAAAGTCCTTGTTATTATTAGTCTGAATAGAATTGCATAACCATTTGAATGTTCGTTTAAAAACACTTAACCTTCACTTTGACAGTGTGTGTTTGTTTGGGGATTTGGATTTTGAGTTATGATTTGAATAGTAAAAATTTTGAATTTGAATAGTTGTATGATGTGATATAAATAGGTGTTGATGTGATGTTTTGAATGTAAAATTGATTTTTAGTATAATATAAAAAATGAAAAATACGTGTTTGATTTGATATTTTTTGGGGGGAAAATGGAATAAATAGTGGAAATCTAATCAAATCCCTAAAACAAACACACCCTTAAGTGGTTAACTCATATATATGTCGAAAGTTTGCTCATTAAAACTGTCTTCTATGTTAACCGAATGTCTAGCAAAGGGTTTTGTTAAAAAGATTGCTCGCCTAGAAGATCCTCGTTTAAATCCGGGTTTTGGGAGAAACTTACACAATTTTCATCTCTTTTGTATGCGAAATTCATCGTTGATCTCTTGGGACATATCGAATGATATATGATGACAATGTATTTTATAAATCAATTATTGTGATAAGTTTTGTAAATAAATATAGATAATAAACATATTTTACAAGGAAAAAATATGTTAAAATATTCGGATTATCATACATACTATCAAAAATTAAAATTAATATAACATCTAATAATCATGCATCGGTGACTAGCCGTATACTTCTGTCAGTTAAATTTGTATTTTTTCTTTTTTTTTTGTCTCGTAAAAATATTTCTATTTTTTTATTTAATAAAATAAATAGATAAATTTTTTTATTTTTTACTATAAAATGCAAAAAACAAACAATACCTACCTATATTAAAACCTGAGTCCAAAAGTTTGACTACATTTTTAAGTGATTGAGTGAATTTAGATATGCTTGCTCACTATGTATTGTATATATTAGTTCATTAATTAAGTATATTCTTTTTTTTTTTTTTTATAACTGTTGATGCAATTTTTCAACAATAAAAAGTAAAATTCGAAAATAGAAAATTATCTTCGAATTTAATATAATTAGTGCTGAGATTAGGAATCTCTAAATATTGTAAGATATATAAATAAAATAGAAAAATAAAATTACAGACTGGAAAATAAAATGGTGATCCCCAAAGACAATTCTTTTGAATTTGATGTCGATTGAAGATCCTTTGCCAGTTGCTGACCCCAATCCTTAAATATTCCTCAGAAACAGTACCTGGAACCGTCGTCCGAACGGTTACAACGTCTCATCTCAACCATATACTAATTCTTCTCTTGCTGACACGTGTTCTCAACCATCTTACCCATCGCGTCATCCAACCGACTAAGTTATGGCTCTCACTCGATCTCCGCAGCATCCGACCTCCACAGCAGCCGATTTACTCGTCCAACTGCGGACCAACCGACTTACTTATCCGACCGCGAACCATCCGACTTGAGGAACATCCGACCTGCGGACTGTCCGACTTGCAGACCATCCGACTTGCGGACCATCCGACTTGCGGAACATCCAACCTGCGGACCCTCCGATCTGCGGACCATCCGACCTGTGGACTGTCCGACTCGCACACCATCCGACTTGCGCACCATCCAACCTGCGGACCATCCGACCTGCGGACTGTCCGACTTGTAGACCATCCGACTTGTGCACTGTCCGACTTGCCTATTTTCCTTAGAAGGACGTCCGGTTCAACCGATTATCCTGAAGTACCCCTTAATTAATCT